GGATGGGGGGGGGGGGGGGCAGAGCTAAAAGTGTGAGCTATTAGCTTTGTGGATGAATGGAAACGTGTATCAAGCACATTTTTCAAACGATTATGACACTCAGAATACGGATGGTATGGATCGTATCGTCCTCAGTTATGCCTTGGAAGTTAAGCAGTAGCAAACAGTTGGTGGCTGAGAGGAACTCTGTGTGTGTGTGTGTGTGTGTGTGTGTGTGTGTGTGTGTAGGGAGTCCTCTTATTTCAGGAAATCCTGTTTCCCAGAATCTGCAAGGAGGACACAAGAACAGACCTCTTTCCTACTGATGCTACGTAGCGGTTGATTGCAGAGGGTCGCTGGTGCTTGAATTCCCAGGGAACCCTCATAACTGCCACTGCTAATCTCGCCACCCTGAACTGAGGAGCACAGAACTGCCAGGAAAGGTACGTGGTTGCACCTTTGCAGAAATGGAAGACTACGACTGATCTGATACAGGTCTAGACAAGTTCAATCAATGCTGCTTCCAACATCTGGGATAAATTAACAGCCTTTCAACTTACACATTACTTGGGAAGAGCAAAGGAAAGGCTATTGGGAGATCTCTGTCCTAATACAGACACAGATAACTGCTAAAAGACAAAACAGTTAATGCTGCCCTGTCCGCGGAATTCATGCAGCTATTTTTTTATCATGCAGGGTCTGCATTATGAAGACATTGCACATGTGGCCCAGCATCACGAATGATGGAACTGCTGCTTCAGGCAATAGGAGGCAGATTCCTGCTGCTTCCCAGCGCCAAGGCAGTAAGGCAGGCCCCTTTGGGGAATGGCTTGCTGCCCCCATTGGCATCTGCCAGTCCACCAGGGTCATCTGAGCCAACACTCAGAGGTGATTTTGGGGCTTGCCTGCACAAGCAGCTGCCACAATGACTTCACCCTGCACGACTTCAGGGAGTCCCTTCGGAGTGATGCCCTTTTGGCTGGGCAGCCAGAGACTGTGGGGCAAGGGCACCACCAGGAAGGGGGAGCAGAAGGCCCTCCTGGGCGGCCCTTGGGCCACACGCATTGCTGTAGGGAGGCTTCCTTGTGGGGCAGATAGGGCAGATACCTTGTATGAGTATCCCCCTTTAAGGTCTGGGGGCAGCGAGGGCCCCTCCAGAAAACAAGGTGAGTCCCTTTCCTAGTTCTGGAACTGCATGGCAATGCTGACACACTGGCAATTCCTTCCACACACTCTGCTGGGTGGAGCTGCTGGGCCGGGGGCTTGGCTCGTCAAGCCCCACAACCTTTCAGCGCAGGGGAAGACAGTCCTTCCGTTCATATAATTTTGGTTTCCACTGCCATCAGTCTGCTTCCCTGGACTGAGTCGTGGCCTGAAACTGCTTTTGTTCAAAACCAAGGCAGAGCAGAGCTCTTCCCAATGATTCTGGAGAAGGAGGAATTCTTTCTCCCAGTGCCTTCGACAGCCGAGGTACAAGAAGAGACTGGAGAGGAAAGGAATGTGAGGAGGGCAGAGTGATGTCAACACCAAGAGTCCAGCTCTCCGCTCCCTGCTCCACTTTCATCCCAAAGGCTGCAGATGGGCAAAATCCAGATGCAACACGAAGATCCTCCTCCTAAAGCAATTACTGCCTTGAACAGCCCAGGACATCGTTCATGAACTGGAAAAGACACTAGAGGAATGCAATTTTGCACATCGCTTGAACCATATGGAGAACTCTGCAGATTCAAAGCCGTTGGAGAGAAAGAAAGGGGTTCACATGTGGCACAAAGTCAGTGTAATGTGTGACTCCATCCACTGTGGCTTGAAATCATGGCTTATGGTAAAGGTGCGCAAGGCCTATTTTCAGGCAAAGGCTATACCGAGCCTTTGAAAGGCATAATGGAGGCCGTGCTCCAAAATGCAGTCATTGGGGTCAGGACAAAAGCTAACTTTGATGCAACTTCCCTTTAAACCTAATTAATTAAATGCCATTAGTACTATTCCCCACATATTTTGAGATTCCCTGCTTCTGCCCCATTAAAAGCTACGGTTTTGTAGCCAATATTGAGTGGGGGCTCAGCTAAGAGCTTGAGGGGGGCATAGCAGCTCCGGCCCTTGGTTGTACATCTCTGGATGAAGACTTATAGATGAACCAGGCCAATACTCCATGTTCAATTAACCATGATTCTAGAACAATGGCCTAGCACAACAGGTGAACTTCAGCAGGAGGAAAGCAAGCTGGTCAGAACAGCATGTCTTTTTCCAAAACTGAGTTTATATCTGGCCTTCTTCCTCAAGGCAGCTGAAAATTAGCTACCCAACAGCAGAGGAGAAATGGCAGCTGAAACGTCTGAGTGGATACGAGAAGGAGTTCAGCAGTGGTTACTCTTTCACTAGCAAGAGACCAACGGTGCTTGTTCTTGGCTCTCACCAACTTCTGTTGCTCTCCTGGGGATTTCTCAAGCCCCCTTTCTTCTGCTTTAAGCAATCTCTGCATCAGACCCCCCCCCCCCTTTGCAAAGTATCAACCACAGCTGTTGGTACAGGAAATGTGATGGACTCACTTTGTGCAAAGAGCTGGGAGATGGTTTTCCTGTTATCCTCAGTGCCTTCAAATTCTTTCTCTGCAAGTTGCTTATGAGCTGTATCCATACGTTCTGAAAAAGAAAGAAGAAATACATGGGTCATTTAACTATTGAGTTAATTAATTAGTTATTAACTTAATGATTAGAGTCTATCCCACGTCTACTTTTCTTTCTGCCACAAATGTCTAGATAAGGCAGGCTGGACTGAGAGAGAAAGAGAGAGAGAGAGAATGACTGCCGCCCAAGTCACCCAGTGAACTTCCATGGCTGAAGATGGGTTTGAACATGGGTGTCCCTGGCCTAGTCCAGAATCTTTAACGATGATGTCCCCCTGGCTCTTGCACATCACCAAGCTCAGGGGTCTCCAAATCTTCAAGGGGCAGCTACTGTATTCTATTCCAGCAAAATTGCCCAGCCCTGTATTTTGCTCCTGCAGCGATGAACCAAATGCTCTGGGAAGCCCCTGAACAGAATGGAAGGGCAAAAGCCTCAGCAAGTCCTTCCTTCTCTCTTGTGAAGACAGCCATCTTGGTGAATGGCTACTGGTAGCCTTATCTTCTCCCAAGAATCTTTCTGACTGTCTTTAATGGGTCTTCAAGTTATCAAACTTTGCTGCACCTTCAGACACCAAATGTCATTGCTTAACTATCCTCTGTGCAAGAAGCGTGACCCCATTCCCTCCCCACCCCAGACCTAATTCTGCATGGTTCTCCTAATTGGAGAGGACCCTGGAGAACTGCCCTTTATATACCCACACATCCCTCTTTCCCTTTGAAGTTTACCTGCCTCATGGCTGTGTTATACAACTGGGAGGGGGGAAGGAGCTAAAAACACCTCTTGCCCGAAGGGCAAAGCCACAAAGCGTGAGGGACGGGACCCGACCAATCGAGCACTCTATCCAGCTTTCTGGCCCTGTACTCCCACAAATGGGTAGGAGCCAGCATAAAATATCAATCTGATCTCATTTCTATTTAAAATAAATTGATTTTTTTAGTGATTTTAACACTGTGCTTCTTTAAAAAAAATATGAATACTCTCCTATTTTGCTGTGCCACATTAATAAAAATGGTTCTGAACTTTTAAATTTTAAGTTCTCTTGGAGGACTCTTTCCGGCCTGACAACTCTGTCAACTAAATCAGTGAAAACACAGACTGAACTTTGTAGCTGGGTAGGAAACTATTTTTTCCCTCCCCAAATTATGATACTGAACAAGAATAAATGTGATTAAGATGCAAATGTATAAAGGATTTTACAAAGGGAGAGGAAGTGAGAAAGTGCATATATTTTCTGGTTTTTTTTTAAGGAGTCACAGAATTACATCACTGATCTTAAATATAGGAATTCAATCATTCAATGGCAGTAAGAATGATTTTAAGGTTTCTTTTACCTCTGAGATCACGATTGAAGTCATGAAGTCTGCGGATTTCACATTCCAGCTTGTTTCTCATGGTCTTTTCCAGAGCCTCCCGCTTTGAGGAAGACTTCTCCAGATTTTTATAGGCCTCTGAAACTTGTTGAATTTCCGTTTCCAGCTATGACAAATAATTAAATGAGAATGAAACACATCAAATATTCAGCAGTGACTGTTCTAATATTCAGCACTGAATTACATCAGCTCCGTGAAATGCTCTGAGAAGAGCTGCTGGCTGATCTGGATTGTGCGCAAAGGAGACGCGCTTAGGCCTTGCAGCCCCGTGGCAGAAAGAGCCCCTTTCGCCTGGCACACGATGCCCTTTCAGCCCTGACGTGAGCAGCCGGGCTCCAGGATGCCTGCAGAGGCGGCCAGCCGGGAATCAGATGCGAGGTCTCTGTATGCTTCCAGAGGGAGTCAGTGTACAAAATTCATAACTACATGCATAAACACTCTGGAACACGTCTCCCTTCCAATCTTCCAAGGAATTGTGAATCAACCATAGAGACATTTCAACACCCTGACGAAGTCACAATTTGCAGGGTTTGGAGGTAGGAAACTTGTGCTAAGGTATTATTTGCTTCAAACTTACTTGCTGAATAAGCACAATGACTGGGTTCACATGTCATGCGAAGTAAAAACCAGACAAACTACATTATGGCTTAGCATAATATGTGAACTCAGCCCTTGCCCCAAACCAGAGATTCATTATCTCTGCAGAGCCTACTGCAGCTTTCCCTCAACCTGGCCTGGATTTCATCTCCCATTGTTCCCAGACTATGTTGGCTAACAGCCTGGTGGAAAATGATGGGAGTCAACGCTTCTCTCTTAATACTGGGCTGGGAAAAGCTGCTCCACAGCAAACAGCAGAGCTCTTTTCTCAGTCCTACTGGGAACGCCAAGGCCTGGACCTGAGGCTTTCTGCACACCAATGCATGTCTTCTGCCACTGAGCATTAGCTCCGCTTAAGGTGCACCCGTGGAAGTAGCCCAGAATCAGGAGACTCAGGACACAGATTAAATCAGGACATAAAGATGGGGGATACCCCTAGAGATGGTTTATCTGCAAGAGCACCGGTGTTCTTCAAAGTATCGTCCTTGGGGTATCCAAAAGAGAAAGAAAGGGGAAGAAAAATGACTTCCTACCTTTTGCAGCCTTGCTACTTTTTCATAGCATCCATCCAGCTCTTGCCGTAGAGACTTGTTCTCCTCAGAGAGGATTTCCACCATCTGCTGGGCCCTGGAGACAATGACATAGGGGTCCACCGGCATTTGTTGATAGGGAGAAGGTGCTGGTGGGGGCCTGGGCAGGGCCGAGTAAGAGTCCCCTTGCTGGTGCTGCTGCTGCCCAATAACAGGCTGGCAGAGTCGGTAAAGGTCACCCTGGTGGATCTGGTTGGGCAAAAACAGCTGCTGCGTCCGTGGCAGAGAAAACGGGTCTCCTTGGTTGGGGGTCAGAGGAGGCTGATGCTGAGAAGGTGACAGCCTGGAAGGCGGCAGTGACTGTAACAGCGTCAGGGACCCCAAAGAGGTCAACGAGGAGGTCGGGCTGTGGTGGTGGGGAGGTCGTTGTTGGAATGGCAGCTGAATCTCTGGGTTTTGCCTGCCAAGGACAATCAATACCAATTCATTTGAATGGGTCTACCCCACTGGATGCTACATTTGTACCCGCAGCTTCCCTACCTGGTGCCTCCCAGACACTTCAGACAGACTTCTATTCCATCACCATCTGAGCTTTGGGCTCAATTCTCCTTAGCCCTTTCTGACACAGCAGAGCCCATGCTGGTTGGGCTTTGGTGCTAAAGGCTGCTGGGCGTGGATGGTGCTGGTCCCAGCTTTGGATGCTCAAGTGATCACCTATAGCTTGACACATCTTCCAATTCAGCTACAGTATGAACAACTTAGTTGCCTGGAACAGATGCGATGAAGCTCCAGAGTTACGGACAAGACCATTTCCAATATTTTTGGAAAACCTCAACTGGGTCAGAGCATAGCAACCAAGTTGATGACCCAGGCTCATAGGTATGAGCAGGCTTCGCCTATATATAAGGAGACTTCACTGACATCCATGTATTGTTCATAGGCACAATTCAAAATACTGAAGCCCTGTGTAGTCTGGGATCTGGCTAGAATCTGAAGGGCTCCCTGTTCTTACTCAAACTGGCTGGATGGCTGACAGCGTTGCCACACCTTTGTCTGCAGAGCTTGGGTGTCTCCTGCAGAAAGGCCCTTTTTGTGGTGATGTCAAAACCTGGCAAATTGGTTATTCCAGACCTCCTTGTTGCTCATTTGGGCTTCGGGGCAGTCCATTTAATTGAACTGGAGTTGTTTGGGTTTGTTCTTATATGTGACTGCCTGGTTTGTTCCGTAAAAGGTTTCTAAGGATGCTCACTTAGTTAATTCAGGTGCGGACTCTGCATCTTTCCAGATCTGGCTCAAACAGGGCAAGCTCTCCCAGCCTCCATCACTCACATGGTTGGGGCTGCTGGGAATTGGAGTTTGACAACACAGGGAAAGGCCCCAGCCTCTCCCCCCGCCCCCGCAATTAATTGCTGCTTTTGTACATTATTCATCTACAATGGTAAGCTTTCGTTCCATTTATTATTAGTTTCATATAATCATTTAATCCGCCCTGAATGTCATATGGCCGAAAAGCAGTGCGACAACTATTTGAAATCAAGAAATACATTTTGTAACAGAAGTGAAGCGGCATGGAGGAAGTGAGGCTTTTGTCCTGAACCTGGGCACGTGGGGCTGGAGGGGACAGGAGGGAGTCCTTTCCATTCCTTCTGACAGCTCTGCAGCTGCAGAAACAATTCTCATGCAACTTCTCCCTAACTATGTGAATGCAGATCCACGCACACTCAAAGATGCACTATAAATCCGAATTACCAATTTGCCTCAAGTGTGGCTGTTCTGTGAACCTGAGCAGCTTTTGCTAGCAAAGGATCAGCAAAACTGTCAAAACAGAAACAAAGAATGGAAAAAACGATAAAGCAATCCCAACGAAGCAGTGCCTTTAGTCAGAAGATCTCGTTTCAATGAGCCGGTCTTTAAAATACAAAGGAGTCACAATTCTGGACGCGTTGGACCACTTATTGATTCACAGTCTGGTCCCGCCATGACAACTGTGGTTGTGATCAGAAGCTCGTCTGAGCTAGTCCTCCAAGGAGGACACTTTGAGGGAGAAAAGCAGCACCTTCAGCCTCAGCTGAAAGCTCTGGTGACGGAGGTGGCTGAGTGCTTTGCCAACCCACTTCTTGGCGAGGAGACCAGTCTGCAGCTGCAGGGGCAGGCGGGGCCCCCAGCGCCTGGGGTCCAGCCCTCAGAGCACCTCCAAGCCTGCTGCTGCCAACATATAATTTCTGACATGACAGAAACAGGATCATAATTAATATGGAGAGCCATCATGTCAACAGCATTTAATTAATTTTACTTTAATTAAGAGAAAAAGGAGGTGACCTTGAGTTTTTCTTGAATAAATAGACCTAACATGAATCAAGAGCTGATTTAATTCTTTTTCCTGGTCCAAGACTGGCATTTTTTGTGCCAGACACCAGATGTCTCTACTGCAGCTTCAACCTTCTGCACAGATAGTCAATAAACCTGGATTCTCATGGCTGAGCCAGGAATTAACCCTGCTTTATCCCAAGATACCTTACCAAAGACCCTGTGAAGCCTCTCCTGCCTTGTACAAGCAAGTGCGGTTCCCGATCGTCCTATGCCTTGTCTGTGGAAACCACCTCTGCAGAGAAGCCTGCCTGGAGCTCCTACGGAACTCTTCTTAATAACCAGGGAAGACTTCTGTATTTTCAGTGTTTAACGTTGTTAGACCTGGGTAGTGTTTTATAGCTGCAAATACTGTCAGCTGTTCTGGAAAAAAATATTTTGAAGGGTGGAGATGTAAAGCTATAAATAAGGTCTGGTTCTATCGTGTGCTAGTAGCTTTACTCTGCTAAAACCACCCATCCCGTGTGTTTTGTTAATGCATACCTCACCCAATCACCTTTGCTTACTGGGCTGTCCCAAACTGTAATAAGCAAACAGGTTGACTGCTGAGCCCAGACCCAATACGGCCCTCTCTCAGTGGCCCAGAGAATAACGTTCGGCTCAGAGTGGAAACTTTCAGAATGGCAGCCCATTTCATTTCAGTTCATTTGCCCAGATGTTCCGAGTTGCCCGCAAAGACTTCTTGTAAAGACATCTGCCAAAGGCCTGCACAGTGCAGTAAAACCTGCCTGTTCTGGCATCCTCTCCTATTTATTCGGAGAGATCAAAGGCCTGTTCCATGACCTTTCATGCGTATAAACCGACCATCTGAACACAAGCCGGGCAACGGATTCAGAGAAGCAAAGCACCCATTCCCAAAATATTGGGGGACCATTCTGCCAAGCACTGAACAGGCAGTTGCTCAACTGCTAATTCACACAATTTTCCTGCCAAGGGATTTAAAACAAAACAGAAAACAAACCAAAATCTCTGGTGTTTGGTATGACCGACATGCATTTCCTGCAACATGAAGGAAATACAGCCACTCCTAGCTGGATCATCAAATTGTTCAGGGAAAAAAAGACGGAGCTGGCTTGGCGTTCCACCCTCTGGAACAGGAAAATACATCGGTGCCAACCACAAGCGCCAATTAAAAGCCAGCCGTCCCCTCCTCAACTAGGTGCCTGTTATAAAGAGGACCCACCACTAGTTTCCACTGCTAGTCAGAGTACAGGGCAAACTGTTTTTTACAAGAAGTTGGGGGCACACAAGTACTTTGAAAAAATATGTAGTCTCCAAGGCCAGATGTGGTGAGATCAGGGAGCAGGGAGGTTCCCAGTGCCCCAACGCTTTACCTCTCCTGAAGTCGCCACATGCCTGTTTCAGAGCCGGCCTTGAATCCCAGGGCCCCGAATGAGCAGTTTGTGGCTGAATGTCAGTAGCGCCATGGTTTGGGTCGTGGGGGTCAGAGAGCTGCTGCAAAGTCGGGAGGCCGGAAGGGGGAAGGTACCACTGGCGTGCAACAAGATGCCCCCCGCCCTCTTTGAGAGCATCCTCCAAGGCAGCTGGGCCTCCAACCCCCGGACCCACTCCCAGCAACCTGGTGCCCAGCTATAAGAAGCCAAAATCCCACCATCCCTGGCAAATGCCGCTCGAGAGCAGCTGACAACAGAAAGGACGGAGTGGCATCTGACGGGCAGCCTCCCCAAACCTCCAGGCTCAGCACTTAGGACCACGGGAAGGCTGAGTAGCTTACCGGAATGAGCCGTATTCAGGGGGGTGCTGGTACCTCATTGCAGGCCCATCGCAGCGCCCTTGCTGGGGCAGGCGGTGGTCGCCATAGAAATGCCCGGGCTCCTGTGGCTTACAACTCATGGACGGGCTGGACACATTCTTGTACGGGTATTCGGGAGGGGGCCCCCGGTGCTCCATCCCTTTCACGCCGGGCTGCGGAGGAGCTGCCCCGGAGGTCTTGTAGAAGTCATTGGTCTGCTGGGAGGAGAGCGGGGAAAGCGGGGCGCTGGTGACGGGGGCATGGGCCTTCACACCGCTGGTGGCCAGAGACAGCTGCATCAGCCGCTCGCTCAGGGAGCGGACGTGTCCCTGCTTGAGGTCCTTCAGTCCTTCGTCCTGGTGGACCTTCCCTGGGCTCAGCCGCTGCACTGTGGGGCGCCCTTCGGTCCTCATCTTCTGGTTGGAGACGCCGGTCACGTAAAACGCTGCTCCGACGCTAGCATGTGGTTGGCCCCTGAAGTACTGAGACTGGACTTTGGCTTCTTCGTAGGTCGGGAGGTCCTCACTTGTTTGGAGCCTTGGCGAGAGCTGCTTCTCCATGATGCTGTTGTCCATTTGAATCTCCTGGCCCTGGGGCTCTTGGCGGGCAACATGGGTCCCGATGGGGTGGTCCTGGTTGCTCAGCCCTTCGCTGGGAGCCCCGGGGCTCCCGTTGCTGGCAAAAGGTGGGGTGCTGCCTGTGGCCTGCTGGTGCAGAGCAAGGAGGGTGCGGCTCTCGTTAGGATTCCCATATCGGAGCTGCTCCTGCAGCAAACGCTGTAAAACTGTCGTTGAGGTTTGCTCTTCTGAATTCCTCATCTCCACTGCGATCCCTCGTGGGTGGAACGCAAAAGGGGGGCCGTGGCTGCCCTGGGCCTGGAGTGGGAGGGAAAGAGGATTAGTGGGGGAGCTAATGAGGAAGGGCAGGAGAGAAGAAAGGTAGGGAGAGATAAACAAAGTTAGGAGGTCCTTCTCATGAAAGATGAGTTGAGTTTCCAGGGACTATGAGGAGGTGAAGATCTTATTTGTAATGTCCCCACCTTCTAAAGGCAAATGTCTTGAGGCAAGGACCACCCTTTTTTCAAATTGCTTTCTGAGGGCCAGAGAGATTACAACTGGTGATGACACATCGCTACAGCAAAAGGGTCCAAGACATGCACCTCATTTTGGGGAGGATTTAAAGGTCAAATGAGTGCCTTAAGCTTTGCAAACTTAAGGGGACCCATTTTGCCCCTTGAGTTTCCAAGACCAAAAGTATCAGGCTGCAAAGGTTGGCGATGCCCATCCAGGGGTGCTCTGAGAGCTTCAAAGGGACGCTGATGGGCTGCATAAAGCCTCTGGGCCGCCTATCCTGGCCTCTGCGTCAGCTAGGTCCTCTCTAGCTGGGTCGGAGTATAGCTCCCAGAATTCCTACTCTGAAGGCTCATCCAGTGTGCTTGATGGGAAAAAATGTATGAGAAGAAATGAATGTTTCTCAAGTCATTGTTCATGGAAGGAACTCTTTGTAATTGCTGAACAATTAAGGGTTTTATTTTCACTTTTTCATCCCAAGAGGTGATACATATGAACCGTAGTGGGCAGTTGCCACACACGGAAAAGGACGAGCAATCTCTGCTTACTTCAGTTTGTGGACTCAGAAGGAACCGTTCCGAAGCATGAGGAGAGGCTGGCTCTTTTTGGCAAGACAGAAACAAGGGTATATTCAAGATCCCGTCAGGATTGGAGTTACTCAATTAATTCTTTACTCTTTAGAAAGTTCTGAAAACAGGAAAGGGTGAAAAATTATTAAAATACCCTATTTTTCTTCCTTTTCCCAATAACAAGTCTTTTTTCTTAATTTCTAGCACAAAAGCTGGCAATGTTGTGACTTTGGACACCACAACCTTCATTAAATCCCTAAATAATACCTGGAGAATTTCCTTTTATTTAAAAATTAACACACACACCCCACCCACGATTATGGAATCTTCCAAGGTTTCAGTGTTCTTGCATGAGAATTTGCAAAGTTTCCGGTAAAAGCATAAAAGGTCTTGAAGCTGAAATGGAGGCCATTTTATTATTATTTTTTCACTTCCTGTGTCTGCAAAAGTTTTCAGACTTGGTTCTAGCTCTTAAGAATCAGAAGATACCAGATTAGAAAGAATTCTAGGAATAGGTAGTAATACATGTGAGACCAGAAAGCATAAGGTCCTTCCAGGCCTCTTGGGCGTCCTCCCGTGTGCTCCACGTATCCCCAGGAAGTCTCCCACAAATAAAGCTGCCTTCTAATCTGAGGACTCATGTTCCTCCTAGGACAAAGGGAATGGACCTCCAACACTGATCATGGACTCTTAGACAACAGAGGACTCTTCGCCCAGCAGAGTTATGTTCTTGGGAACAGAAGACAGAATTGGCTATTTGTAACCTCAAAAGAAAGGCGTCAAATGAGTAAGGATGACAAGATTTTGGTGTCTTGGTAAAGGACAGAGTTTGGAAATACAGAAAGGGAGGACATTCACTACCAGTGATCCCCACTGTTTGACTCTGGTATCAAATATGGTTGGATTTTGGTACAAGTTTGAGGGAGGGCACGTGGTCCCCTAATCGATCAGAGTTTCCTTCTTCTACTTTCAAGCAAACTGTACAGAATGATATCAGCATCTAGATAATTGGGGGTGAAAGGGAAATATTCACATTTCTAATATGCAAAAAGTCAATACTGTATGAGGCAGTGGCTATAGTAGTTAGAGTGCCAGGACATGAAGACTTGGGTTCAAATCCATGTGCATGCGTAATGTTCCAAGAATCACCTGATTCCTTCCCCAGTAAATCTATTTTGAAGTGTTAATGAACATGCAGAACTGGGGAAATGAGGGTAAGAGAAAAAACATATGCTTCTTTAGTTTCTTGGAAAAGGAATGGAATAAATTTAACCAAAAAAATCAAGCAACAGCAATGTTTAAAATATGAACATGCTGGTTCGAATTAGGAACCAAGACCATCCAAACAGCCTTGTTTATGGTTCTGTATTTTCAATGGTTTGTTGTACAGGAGAGGAAGTAGATTTAGATGGACAGAGGACCAAAATTCTGCATTTAAGCAAAATTATACCTGTTTGTTGGGCTGGGTGGGGTGAATTAGGGAGAGTGGTGAGTAACGTTGTGGAATGCTTTTAGAAAGCAGCAAGTAGATACAGTGATAACAATGGGTATTTTATCTAGACTAGGGAGCTTAACTATGATTAAAACTATATACAAATGACTGTAGAATTCATGTGACCAAACTTAGGAAGATAATGAGAGATAACGCATATCTTCTCCTGACTGGTTCCTAAGAGAGCTACTAAAGGCAATCCCCAACCCCCAAAGGGCTAGCGAATGACAGGAATGGTAGTACAGCTGATCTGGACATCACCAAGTTGAGAAAGATGTCTTTAAAAGCACAGCAAAATAGAATCTATGCCAACAGTCTCCCTCCCTCCCCCCCCCCGAAAACTACAGTACAATTCCTAAACATTGTTCCTAGGGTATGTCCTAATCAGCAACATTCAAACAATAGCAAAAGGAGTAAAAAGAATGAAAAAGACGAGAAAAAAAATTCCAACTGAAACATGAGGATAAGAAGCTTAACATATCAGAAGATCAAATGCTTGTAAGAAAGCATGAAATACTTAAGACCGCAGCAGGACTACCATAGGAAATAGCCAAGGTAGGTCTCCACAGAGGAAGCCCCGTGACTGGCTTCAGAACACCACAATGGAAGCTCAGATGTTGGTGGCTTGCAAAGAACTTATCCAGAATCTGTAAATGAGTGACCAGGCTCCTATGGAGAGTCAGCCTTTGTTGTATCCTGACCCCCAGCTGTTGTGGATTCCAAAGCTCATACCCATCATTTTGAGCTAGATCTAGCAATATCTTGAAAATGAAGTTGTCTCAAGAAGGCAAGCCACACTCCACATAATTATCTGCAGCATTGTGGAGCTGCTGAAGGGTCCATAGACTTTCCTCTGCTGTAACTACGGCATCTGTCACCTTTGCTGGTCAATGACTAAAATAAAATAAAAGACTGACTGTCATCCTAGCCAGATATGAAATTAGGCAAACACTTTTCTGACCACTGCCACCATACTGACATGCACAGTTCATAGTCCCAGATTCCAAAACCTGCAAATTCAAGGCAGGCTGAACTTGAATTGTGAAATCACTAATTCTATTAAGCAAGGGGACCTCTGTTTTTAATTAAACTGAGCTTCATTTTGTTTTGAAGTTCTAGGCAAGTAAGTTAACAGCTTCTCAGGAACTGTGATAGAAAAGGAAGACTGTGCTTTTCATTAGTGACTTTGGGCCAGTCACTCTCTTTTCTACCTCACAGAGTTGTTGCTGCAGGGAAAAATAGCAGGAGAGAGTGTTATATATATTACCTTGAACTCCTAATGAAAGGCATGATATAAGTCTAATAAACAAATGACACTAGATGATTTCTCCAAGCTGTTTAGCAGCAGTTAAATAGCTCAGGATATTGACCAGACCTTTTGGGACACCAGACTGAATCATCATGTTACCCAACAGAAATCTCACAGTGCTACAGTAATAAAGGTCCAGAATAGAAATTCCCTTCACCAGATGGCTAAGGTCCTTTGAACTAACTATGGTTTCCAAGTCAAAACATATACTGGGAAGTACCTTACAAACTACTCTCAGCATGTTAATGGTTCTTCTTTCCATTTCATGGGTCAACCCTGGACCATAAGAGCACTCAGAATGACTGAATGAAAATGTGACTGTGACAAAGCAAGTCATAATTCTTTGTGGTCACCAACACAATGGAACTGGCCTGATCATGTGCTTTAGCTTGAGCATGACTGACCAACTCAAGCCATTTACCAATGTCATTCAAGTCACAATCACTGCTATATCATCATTCCTCAGAAACTCAGACAATTTATTTGGCTCTCCAAAATGGGGAAGGATGCTCCAAAATGGGGAAGGTGTGGCCACATCAACTGCCAGGGCCGTGTATCTATTCCAATGCTAGACGGAAGCTTCAACAAAAATTGTTTATGGAGATGAAAAGGACATTTTCAAGACCTTCGAGAAATCATGAAGATGCAATAAAGTTCTGAAGAGGGCCGTTCTGATATTGTTTCTCGTCAGTGTCAAAATGAGGAGATGCTACAACTCTAAACTATAGAGTTATAAATGACAACACAAACAAAACTGATCTAAGATGTCATGAAAGACTTCTGCAACCTTCTCCAGCTACACATGAAACTCCCTAGATGTGTCTGACTGGAAATCACAGCATCCCAACTCAAGACAATCCAGGACCACAGCGGGAGCTGTACTTAAACACATCCAAAGAGCACAAGGTTAGACCACAATTTCACCTCTTCAATCCCCAGCATAACCTGCTCCTCTATGGGGAATTAATATTGTGAAAACGCAAAGCAGTGCAAATTTTGCTCACTATTTAATTGCTTCTGCTGCACTCTAAAGAGTTTCAAACTTTTTGATCAGACTACAGAGTGATTTAAAAAATTATTGTGCAATGCAGAAGTCTATCTCCACCTTTCTGGCACCATATTCTTTCAACGTCAAGTAGATTATCCTTCTGAACTGTTTTACAAGCTGCTCTTCCAGAGAGAGAGAAGATGACTCTCTCATCCACCTACATCAACAAATACTTACTTAATTTAAATTAAAATCTATATTAAATTGGTTCTCTGACCACCAGAATTCTTAAAGCCCTATACCCTTAAAAAGCAAAGAAATACAACCGTCATAACAAAAAGGCAAACATAAATTATTATTTAAAAACAAGCTAAACATACACACACAAATCAGAGACCAGTTTCAACTTATCAGAGAAGTTCCACAGATCTTGATCTTCCATTTTAAATACTGCATGTTCTGCACATGGGGCGGATAAGATAATAAATGTAGGCTCTTTCCTCACAGTAACAACAGCTGAACCTTCAGGATCACTTCCTGAGAAACACACCCCCTTCTCCCCACTGCATTCAATGAGACCAGCGAGTACCTTGCTTTGGGGGCATTAAAGCTTTCCTTTCCACTAGATTTCCTTATCACTTTCTACGGGGAGAATCCTAGAGGCAGAAGAAGGGACCGCGGAGGCTGTTGTGTCTCACCCACCTTCAGGGCAGGAACCCAAGTTAGAGCTTCCCTGACAAATGGCTATCCAGCCTCCACCTGAACAAATCCCGTGCAGGGGAGACCCTCACCTCTCCAAACCCTTCATTCCCCTGTTGAACTGCTCCTCGAGAATTCTTCCTAACAATCAGAATCTGAATTTCTCATCTCATCAGGAAGGCATGGAAGTCTCAGTAAGAAGTTGGTCTGCAATTGTCCTGGACAAGTAGAATTTTTTTTCAGGCACTTAGCAGCCAAGCTTTTCTTTCTTTTGTCCATTGTTCTGCACCAACGAGCAAACTCGCTCAATATTTTCATTGTGAAATGCATCAGTAATGTTTTACTACAGCGCGGAAATACAGAATACAGAAATTTATTATGTGGAACTTCCTCCGTCCTCCTAGGACTTCTGGTAGGCCTTGAAAGGCATTTCCTTAGCTAATGAATAGAAAACGAGGAAATGAATCGAAAACGAGGCCTCCTACTCCACCTTGACAGAGCAACTTTTCTCCAGAAAGAGAGGATAAATTAATCCTCAACTTCACACAAAGAGTCCAATAATCCAACAGAGTTAGTATGCAAAGCTTCAAGTGAATCAACTAACTGTAGTACTCATTCAAGTCACAAGTGCATGCCAGGTCCTAATCCATAGAGAAATTAGGGGAGGAGAGGCTGGTGGTCCTATCACAGAGTGGTCAAGGAGAAAGAGCAAGAGAGGGGTGGGGGGGGGCTAGACAGCAAAAGGTCTTCACCAAGCACAATGGTCAGAGTGAAAGAAAGACATCTAGGAGGTACAGGAGCTGCCACCATTTTGTATATATGTTTGCGAGGGAGAAACAGATAAACCCAGCTGGTTAAAAAGGACTCCATATCCAGAAAGACTGAATGCACGGCAACCCTGTCTGTTGTGCGATGCCATTCGGATTCCCACCCCTTGCATCGAACCACAGGCCTTCTTTCTCGCAATGCATTACTGCAATTCTGTAACTTACGTACAACATTATTTTATCGACCTGAAA